GACTATGCTTGTAGTTCTAGAACGCATGGGACAAGTAGCATGTTGGTTCATTTAAGAAAGCAATGCAAAAAAAATCCATTTAGAGTTGAAGATAAAAAGCAGAAATTGTTGAGTTTTCCTCTAACTAGTGAAAATGGGAGTGGTTTGTTGGCAATAGGGTATAGTAAAGAAGCTTGTAGGCAAGCTTTAGCTAAGATGGTGATCATGGATGAGCTGCCATTTAGGAGTGTAGAAGGGGAGGGGTTTAGACACTTTTGCCAAGTGATGCAGCCCAAATTTATTCCTCTTTCAAGAACGACAGTTGCTAGAGATGTTTTGCAATTGTTTAGTGAGGAAAAGGCTAAATTGAAAGCTGCTTTACGCAATGATTGTAAGAGAGTATCCTTTACAACTGATGGTTGGACTTCTTTGCAAAACATACACTATATGTGTCTAACTGCCCACTACATTGATTCTGATTGGAAGCTGCAAAAGAGAATTATCAACTTTTGTACTATGCCAAATGGAAAAGGGGAAACTATTGGGAGGTTGATTGAGCATTGTATGCATGGATGGGGGCTTGAAAAGGTATTCATGGTGACAGTAGACAATGCTTCTGCCAATGATTCAGCCTTGAGTTTTTTCAAACGGAGGGTAAATGGGTGGAAGGGCACTGTTTTGGACGGTGAATTTCTTCATCAACGTTGTGCTGCTCACATCGTCAACCTCATTGTAACTGAAGGACTAAAGGAAATGCATAGCTCAATAGCAGCAATTTGAAATGCTGTTAAGTATGTCAAATCTTCTCCTGCGATGTTACAAAAGTTCAAAGTTTGTGTGGAGCACGAGAAAGTTGAATATAAGGGGATGTTGGTCTTAGATGTCCCAACTAGGTGGAATTCAACATACATGATGTTAGATGTTGCTCTTAAGTTCCAAAAGGCCTTTGATAGGTTTGAAGAGGATGATGAAAAGTACTTAGGATACTTTTTGGAAGAAGAGGGTGGGAAGAAAAAAGTGGGACCACCAATGAAGGAAGATTGGGCAAATGCTAAGATTTTTGTTGAATTTCTTAAGACTTTTTATGAAGTCACTTTGAAATTTAGTGCATCAGAACATGTCACTTCCAACACTTTTTTTCATGAGATTTGTACCATTCAAAGACGGTTGAGTGAGTTATGTGCAAGTGGTGATTGCTTGTTGTCAACTATGGCTTTTGGGATGAGAAGGAAGTTTGAAAAATATTGGGGCAATGGGGAAAATATTAACTGTATGTTGTTTATTGCTGTTGTACTTGATCCTCGATATAAGAAGACATATCTTTGGTACTGTTTTAGCATGATTTATGATGCTTCCACCGCCTTTAAATTGTGCAACAAAGTGGATGAAATACTGGCTAAAATGATGTCCTTTTATAGTGAAGGGGTAGATATGAAAAAAAAACAAGAAATGGCTGCAAATACTCCAAATCAACCACTTGTCCAACCGGTCAATGAGTTGCTAAGTCAATTCTTGAAGCAACGAGGGGATAATAGGGAGAAAAATGACCTTGAGAGGTATCTAGCTGAAGAGAATGTGTACCCTTTAACCCCTGATTTTGATATTTTGGAGTGGTGGAAAGATAATAGCAAGAAGTTCAAGGTTTTGGCTCAAATTGCCCGTGATGTACTAGCTGTCCAAGTCTCCACAGTAGCTTCCGAGTCAGCTTTCAGTACTAGTGGTCGCATTCTGGATCCATTTAGGAGTTCTTTGAATCCTAAGATGGTGGAGGCTCTTGTTTGTACTCAAAATTGGTTGAAATCTACACATGATTGTATACAAGTAAGAGACTATTTGGATGACTTGGAGACTTATGAAAACCTAGGTAAGACAATAATTTGTATGTATCTTAATCTATTTTATTATATGAACTCTAAACTATCTAAATTATTACTTAAGCTATTTTCATTTCTCTTGTAGATAACTCAACTTCATGTCCTACTACAACCATTGAGGAGCCTATGAGTGTGGATTGATAAATATGGTTGATGTTGCAATGCTTGCTTTGGATGGATTTGAATTAAGTGTCCAGCCTCTATGTTTGCTTTGCTTAAGCTATTTGTTTTATATTAAGACTAATTTATAAGTGTAGACTAAGTTATGTTTGCTTTGTATTTGATGTTGGATGGACTATTTTGCTTCATGTTTGATGTTAGATGGACTGATAAAGATGGTTGCTATTTCTATTTAATGATGAAGTTTGAATATTATATTAAACTTTAAGTCTTTGATTTTTTGAATGTTGAAACCGACCACCCAACCCACCCCGCATCGCCCCAACCCAACCCGAACATCGTTGGGTTGTGAAATTTTTCTAATATCGTTGGGACTAAATATGTGCAACCCGCACCCTTTGGAGCGGGAGAAAAAAATTCTACCCCGCACCAACCCAACCCATGAACACCCCTAGGCACAACAGGGAATCTCATTTAGGCAGCTACAATCGGTAATTGAGTTAAAACCAAAGTAAGCTAGATGATGAACTACACGATTCTCACTCCGTGGGATGAAAGAACAGCCAACAGTAGTGCATTTTTGCAATAAAGCATTAATATCCTGAATAATCGGGCCCTTCCATAGCAAGAGTAGAAGATGAAAGAATAGCTGCTACTACCTTGTTAGCATCACTTTCAACAATATTAGGCTTTATGCCTGCTTCCAATGCAAAATAAAAAGAGGGGTGAAGCCCCCAAAGATTACGTGACATAAAAAAGAGGGCTACAGAAAGACGTGTCACCATTTTAGAACACTTCGTTAATGATACATGTTTATTTATTGATTGTTCTTTTTAATATGTTTTACATCTCTATTCTTAATATTTTTTAGGTTCATCTGTTCTTTTTGTGGGATTTTCCCCTCATGTTTTGTTGTTTGTTTCTATATTCATTTTTATTTGTTTTTAGAAAAAGCATAGATCATGCTGTATTGTTATTATTTTTACTAATACGTTTTTAATCTTTCCTTGTTACGCTTCAAACGTCATTTCCCATTATATTTTCATATTGTATACTAATTTCTACACAACCTTTACTTTCACAACAAGCTTAAAAGCAAGCGCAACTAAAAAGAAGAGAACAACGAATTGAAGAAGTGCGTCACGTGGAGTACCAAAGTGTGGAAAGTAGAAAGGAAAAGGAGCTCTTCAACTTTACCCTTCGATTGAGGTTTTTGCTTAGTTACACAATCACAATATATGTTTTTGCTTAGTTACACAATCACAATATATAGTCAAACTTTTTAGGCGGTTCCTTAAAAGCGTTAATACAAACTACGCAAACTATAAGTAAACGGTTTCCTATTTTTTCAGACCAAATCTACATATACTTTAAATAACACTTAAATTTAGTTATATGTCTAATACTTTTGCTGGGAGAAAGTAAAATGTGTTATATACGTTCAAACATACATTTTTCTCAATTAAAGAATACACTATGTTTAAATCTACGGAAAATACGGTTTTTTCCGTATAATAATTTCAATCGATTTCATTATTCTTCATTTAGATATTCGTTCTTATTAATTAAATTTTATAAATAAGACATTTTTTTTTTGTAAGAAACAAAGACATCTTTCCTTTAAACACGTTAATAATACATTTTGAACATCCAAAAAAAGTTTCGCTAGATATGCAAACGAAGATATGTTGCAAGTATCACTAACAGTTTTCGGCACTAAAATTTCACTTCCCAATTTCATCTGTAGTTCAAGTTTTCTTTTCTTTTTGAGTAATTTGCAAGGAATGGTCGTACCTGAACTTTTTGGATCTTTTAATTTTAACTTTAACAATGAATCTGATCAAATTGATTATGCTGCTTAAGTTTTAATTTAATAGTGCACATGCGTTAAATGAGTGTTATCTTTTGTCGAATATAGTAAACACCGTAAAAAAGATTGCCAAAAAAAAAATTACAAATAAAATATGAACGAAGGGGTCGCTACAAAACACGAAGTGAGTAAGAGTGTTGCTACACAAAATTCTTTGTGACACCGCTACTGTCAAAAATCCAGGTGCTTCGAGCCTGCCTTCACTGCTGCTGGCCCTTCTGTGCATCTCTCCAACTCCAATATATGAGCTTGTCACAAGCTCTCTCGCAAGCCAATTGCTTTCCCCCTTGCAAGCCCTCTTTCAACGCACGAGCATAACTCCATCGTCGCCTCCACCACACAAGCATCTCACGAGCCCTCGTCCACCTCCGCGGCGCACTCTATGGTTGTTGCTTCGGGATCTCTATGGTCATCAAGGACGTGTTTGTTTTACAATTGAAGTTGAGAACTTAAATTGTTTATATAAAAAAAATACTATAATAAAAAAATTGAATTTAAATTTTGTATGAGAAAACATTATAATAAAAGAGTTTGAATTGTTATTTGAGTTGTACAAAAAACATACCCTAGATGATTCGGTTTGGGAAGAAAACAAATTTTCTTATAAATAAATTAATTTATATTTTTAGAATAATTTTTTTTCTATTATTAATACATGTAAACAATACTTCAAAAGATCAATAAATGAGTTGTCACTTACTTGAAAAATTCATTCATGAACTATTTGAATCAATTCATTATTTTTTGGTCTAATTAGTTTTTCTAGCAATTCAATTTCAATATTCTATTATGCCAAAAAAAATCATTGTTTTAGAAAATTAATTCGAGAATACGTAAAGAAGTGATTACAGGTTTAATCTAGTGGTAAATCCACTTCCTGTCTTTTAACGACATCAAGTATTATCTTCCCACCTCAAAATTGAAAAAAAGGAGAAAATAATAGTTTTTTTTTTTTTTTTTTTTGCTAGAAAATAACAATAATAGTTTAGACAACAAAAAGAGGAAAACCGCTCCTCACGCATCACCCCCAAATTTTTTGAGAAAAAAAGGCAAATGTAAATAAGAAAAGAAAAATAAACCAATTAAAACGACAAAAAATAAAACTTTATGAAAGCGTCAAAAAAGCTTAAAACCGAAGTCAGTCCGTGGGAGTGCGCTGCAGTTGCCATTTTTCTACTTTCTCTCTTTTCCGTGGAAGCCATAGCCATAGGCGAGAGGTTCAAAGCTAGACTGGAGGTGAAAGACGACTACTGGGATATGGCCGATTCTCGAGTGGAGACCATCTCTCGCCTTGCCCAATGGAGGATCGAGAACTTCGGCCCTTGCTCTTACAAGAAATCCGACCTTTTCAAGGTCGGTCTTTGGAACTGGTAATTCCTGAAGTCTCATCACCAAACCCCGCTTTTCATCTTTCTCTCAATTTACAGAACATTATGATTTTTTCTGGTAATTTATTTATTGGGTTTTTGTCTTTTTAGGCATTTATCGGTGGAGAAGAATCGGTACATGTACATTCGTCTGTTTCCGGAGCCTTCTCGGGTATCGAAAGAACACCCTCCGATTGCTCGATTTGTTCTCAGAGTCTCCAACACCGGAAGTGGTCGCAAACTCTACATTTCTCCCGGTATGTTCTCCACTTTCATTCATATGATCTTTTCATGTTTGACTTTTTTGTTATTCCGGAGAATCCAACCAAAACTTTGAAGAAAAAGATGAGGAGAAAGGGGAAAAAAAGGAGAGAGAGATTATTCTTTATTTATTTAATTATTTATTTTTTGTGATTAACAATTAACAAAGCTTCATTGATATATGGTGGAAATTTATGAATAGTAATTTGGTATTTATTGTTAGTCCATAAATGAATGAAAGGGGAAAACGAACTTATTTGAAAGAATTTAGTTTTTAATAGTCTCTTTGGACATGGGTGAAACTGCAATGTTTAAACTGGTTTCTTCTGTGTGAATGAAGGATGATTGCTATGTTACTTGTTGGCTAAGCATGGTGCTAATTACTGCTATGTTGGTTCAAATTAGCTGGTCTGAGTTTTACTAACTGGTCGGTTATGGTTTCTTCTCGGCTCTTTCCTACTCTTATCTATCCGTTTGAAAATCATGCGAATCACGGCTTTAAATCTAGTTTTCACTTACTATCTTGCATTAATTTGGATAATTTCCATTCAATCTCAAAGTTGGTGCTATGATTGGGTATTGTGTTCTAACAGAGTATGATCAGCAAATGGATTTATTTTTGGAATGTAGCCAATCATTGCATTAGGATAATTTTCTAGTGAGGATCGATAGATACTTTTTAGCATATTTTTAAATGTTGTAAGCGGCATTACTGAAATGGTTTTAATGCTTCCTACCATTGCAGTTCACGAGAGGCTGCTTCGAACTTCTGAAGACTTTGTCTGGCCCGTCGATTCCAACTTTGTTGGTCGATTTATCATTGATGTTGAGTTTCTGGATCTGAAGACATGCTCTGTAAATGTCAGTTCCTTAAACCTTCTCACAATTATCTTTTTTCAAGTTAGTTTTGTGATTCGTGTGAGCGTTTGTCTTCTGGTCCTTGTTTTAGATGCAGAAGTGTTAAAAGAATTTTGTTTTTTGCTCTTGCAATCAGGGTGGGGAAGCTAGTTCTATATGGCCTATTGATGGAGCAATGCAGTCTATATCAACCAAGAGCACTCTTAGATGCCTCTCTAGGATGCTTGATGAGTCGATCCACGCTGATGTCACCATCCACTGTGCGGGTGGCACTCTAAGAGCTCACAAGGCAATTTTGTCCGCGAGTTCTCCTGTGTTCCAGAGCATGTTCCACCACAATCTCATGGAGAAAGAGTCCTCAACGATCCACATAGAAGACATGTCAGTGGATTCTTGCATGGCCCTTCTCAGCCACATGTATGGCACCATTAAACAAGAGGATTTCTGGGAGCACCGATTGGCGCTTCTCGGCGCAGCAAACAAGTATGACATTGCGGATCTAAAAGATGCTTGCGAGGAGAGCCTCATGGAGGACATCAATTCGGGCAATGTCCTGAAGAGGCTTGAGGACGCGTGGCTGTACCAGCTGAACAAGCTGAAGAAAGGATGTTTGATGTACTTGTTTGAATTCAGCAAGATATACGATGTTAGAGAGGAACTGAACGAATTTGTTAGGCGGGCAGACAGGGAGCTTATGATGGAGATGTTTCAAGAGGTGCTCACAGTTTGGAAGCCTGTTTAAGTTGCAAATGGAGTTTCTATGGTCATTTACAAGGATACAAGAATGTATATATAACTACTCACGACTTGTTTAAGGTTTGACATGTCAGGAACTGATGTGTGAATGGTAAAAAGTACATATCGCTTGTAATTGAAATAAGTTTTAGGTTCAAGAGTCCTGTGTTTGATGCTGAACGAACTTGCTAGCTTTTTGTAATTGAGTATCCAGTTCATATCCATTCGCATGTGTGCAAATTGAGATGTGTTAAGTAGGATTCTGTTTCTTTTTTATTAGGGTAATAATCCCACGTGAATTATGAAGAATCATACCGTTTTACTAAAGCATGCCAATCAAGCCATGTAGGATGTCTAATTAAAGATCGACAACAGAAATAGGTAGGCAATCAAAGTACAAATTGAAAATCGGTGTTGGGCGAGCCCACAGAATTAGATAGGTTCTCTCTCACGGTGACTGTTCACAATTCATAAAAAAACGAAAGAAATAGGTTTTCTCACGGTGACTGTTTCCTAATACATATATATATATATGTGTGTGTGTACATACATATATATATATATGTGTGTGTGTGTGTGTGTGTGTATATATATATATATATATATTAAACGAAACAAAAGTAACTAAAATGTAGTAGATAAGTATTACGTGAAACAAAAACTCAATATGCAGCGATAAAAAATTGAAATCGACCTTGAGGTGTAGAATTCAAATTCCCGCCCTCATATTTTTTTTTTAAGATGCAACTCCCAGGAAGGAAAAAACGACAACACAGAGGATCACAAGAATAAGATAGAAACGACGACAAATAAAGGAAACAATGTAAAAAACGACAACATATAAGAAAAGCTACACCTAACAACATATTAGAAACGACCAGAAGAAAATAAAAAGAAATGAGAAACAACGATGTAGTGTCACACCCCAAAACTGGGGTTAGTGACATGAAGGTTCGTTTAGAAGTTAAACACAATTAAGAAAGTAATTAAGCATTTGAAAATATAAAAATCAATCTCAAAAGTAAAGCATTAAAGAAATTCTCAAACAAGCCTCACATTTTACTAAAATTAGATTACAAGAAAGTGATGGGGACTTTCACACTTCTCTGATAAAACAGGTTTGAAAACGAAGCCTTTGGCATCATTCAGGATTTCACCCACAGGATATACAATATTGTACATACATAAATATGTAAATAACATTTACAGACATCAACCACAGTCTAAATATTCAAAGTTTACAGTCTAAGAGTTTACAATCCTTACATAATGTGTCAGTGATGGATACAATATCCTCACCCGAATAAACGGTAGCAACTTAATTAGCTTCTCTACACTGCTTCTAGCGTCGCCTGGGATGAGTTTAATATACATAGAAACAAAAGTAAAACATGAGCAGAAGGCCCAGTAGGATGTATTTAAGAAAAATATTATAAACAAGTAAATAAGTGAATAGTAAATAAATGAAGATATCCAGTTCTAACACAACAGCCGGAACCTAATATCCTTTTTTCTGAAAGGAAGTATAAACTTTAAATTCCATACTACAGGCATCAGCAAGTAATTTATATTATGATAAATTACTTACACAATCACAAGCACAATCCTTAACACCACCGTAGTGGTCCGGTCCGGGTTTCGGGTTATGCCCCCGAGGATACTCTCTACATATCCTACCTAGGCTATTAGCAGCTTACCAGTTCGCAAGATATCTTATCTTAAGAGAAATATTCACGAACCCTTAAAACAGTTCATTATGATTCCAATAGCTAAAAAAAAGCTATTGTGTTAAAATACTTTTCTTTATCAATCATGTTCTTTCTTTAAAACATTTTATAAAGTCTAAAACTCTTAAAAACAGGCTAACAAATAAAAGGACAAGAAATCCTACCTCTCAAATACCAAACATGTTGCTAGCGTTGCGCTATACTAGCTTCCACTTCCTCAAAGCCTTTAATCCGATTCTTCAACTAGCATTTACACAAAACAACGTTTTAAGATTCAATCCTCATTCCTAAAACAAATCAAGCTCAATCCCACATATTGATTTCCTATTAATGTGTCTTAATCTAATTTCAAGTTTCATAATCAATTCATGACTCAAATCATCATTCCAAAGATTTTGATCTCAAAACATGGATTAAAGATGCTAATTCATCTACTTTAAGTTCCCAAATGAAACTAATTTGGGTTCTCTTTGAAAACCAATGTCAAAACAACATTTTAAGGCAAAACTGGTTCAAATCACGTGTGCACTGGTCAACCGGTGACAAAGAAGTTGTTCTTCACTGGTCGGCCGGTGAAGAAGGGACGGGTCGACCGGTGGAGTTCTACAGTTCGTGAAAAAATGACCATACTGCGAAGAAAAACTCCAAAACCTGCAAATCCGAGTTTAAATCTGAGATATTTCAAAGGAAAACTACAAAATTCAGGTTTCAATTACTAAATCAAGTTCAAATAACCAAAAATCCCCAATTCTTATCATGGTTTCAACCAAAATCCATCAAAATCCAATTCGAACTGAAAATAGTTTTTTCAAAAGAAAAATCTAAGATTTAAGAGAAATTTTTTAGAAATCTTACTCTAAATCCTTCCCTTGATGTTGAAAACTTCTTGAAGTTTCTCTTTGATTCAAACTTCTTGAGAAATGGTGACAATTTTGGAGAGAAAGAGAGAGTGAGCTATGAGAGAGCGAGTGAGCTGAGAGAGAGAGAGTGTGTGTGTGTGTGTTACGGGAGGAAGGGGGAAAAGAACAAAGGAAAATGAAAAAGAAAAAGAAAAGGAAAGAAAAGAAAAAGAAAAGAAATGGATAACATCAAAGATATTTAGAAAAATATATCTGTGTCTCCACACACTTCTAAGGTGAAAATATAAATATTGACAATGTTTAAATCCCTTAGAAATATTTAAATTTAAATACTAGAAACATTTAATAAATATAATTAATTAATAAAATCAGATTATATACTTTAATAAATCTTAATTATCTTAATTATTCTTGTTTAATTACACAGGGTGTTACATATAGACTGAAAACACTTCTAAAGATTCCCTAAAAAAACATTGTTGAAAAAATAATACGCAATTAAATTATATCTCACATATTTTAGGAAGTTTTAATTTCATGGAAATATAATCGGTAACTTGATACCACGGTTGAATCTATTTTTCGGAAACACTTGGGAATGGTCTAGTTTCTCTCTTTTTTTTTTTTTTTTTTTTTATTTTTTTCTATGAATATTGTGTGTGTTTTTTTTTTTTTTTTTTTTTTTTTTTTTTTTTTTTTTTTTTTTTTTGAGGTGTCTAGTTTCCCATTTGGGTTCGTAGTTGCGTCATAATTAACTTTAATAGTTTCCTTAATTGTCTCCCAAGCACAACGAGTAGATTATTTCGTTTCCATTCATTCTCTGTATATATATTTGGTCTAGTGTTCATGAAATTGGCACAACTATATATCTCTCCTCTTGTTCCAGAACATATTAGTCTCGAAAACCATGGCGATGAATACTCGATACAAGTATTCCGTGTCTGTTGATCTCCAAGCATACCGTCATGCTCCGCCTCTTCACAACAACAACGACTATTTCGTCATGTTCAGAGCGAACTTTAAGCAAATACTCAAATTATTGAACCATCCAGATGATCATCGTGATCCGTTCATCTTGGAGGTACCTGTTGACATCCCGCACACCGTCGTGCCCCGCCCCGAGTACTTCTTTGTGCACTCTCCGACGACCATCCGCGACTTGCTCTCCAGCGTGGGCGTGGCCCGACATGCCGCCGCCTCCCTCGCTCCGAAAATCTCCAGCTCTGCCTGGAAGCTCATCACCACCAACCTCCTGTGTTCCTCTCCCAGATCAGTGCTGCCTATCATTCTCAACGTCACTGCCGAGACTCCACTGCTTTACGACGACAGTACTGATGGAGAAGAACTTGTCACTGAGCAGATGTCTCCGACTGTTCCGGCGGTTAGGCCGGCCTCCATGGAGGCGCTGAAGGAGGTGAAGATTGAGACTCTTGACGCGAATACTACATTAACAGAAGAAGAGTGCAGTATCTGTTTGGAAGAGTTCTCTTTGTGTGGATTGGATCGTGATGGTGGTGGTGGTGATCGTTGGAAGATTGTGCAAATGCCGTGTTCTCATGTTTATCACAGAGATTGCATAATTCAGTGGCTGGAGACAAGTCACGAGTGTCCATTGTGCCGCTACGCTATTCCAACTCATGTTGATTGATCCATAAATAAATAAGTACTTGATCAGAAACTAACTACGAATTTTCTTCTAAAGGACATATTATTAATTTTTGTTAATGTTATTCGGCTTAGATAAGGTTATGCAATTAGATTGTTGTGTGTTGGAGAATTTTGAAGAGGTATGTTCTTTAATGGTACTTAACAGAATAGATGGTTAGTGGAAGCACAGGAATTTTGCTTGGACGGACAGGACAGTAATTGGAAATTACGAGCCACTTTTTCGCTTGTATTGGAGCTTATTGTCTGCCTTTTGTTTTAAACGTTTGTCGTTAGCTAATTGATTAAATTTTGTTTTTTTTTTTTGGATGAAATATTACGTTATACGTTTTGATGATGATCGGCTTGTAAATTGTTATTCTGTCATTGTTCATGTGCAATATAGCATGTTGCATTATCTGAGAAGCAAAAGATTAGTGCTGTACGTTTATATAATTAGGCAACTTTAGGGATACACCAAATAATTTTCGAGCGAGGATTTTAATAATTGATATATTAATGATTGAAGTCATTATATCAGTTAATATGTGATAGTGTTAGTACTCTTGTTATTTTTATTTATTTTTTATATTTGCTATTTTATAGTATTACTCGTACAACAATGTCTATCTCTTCTATATATATCAGACCAAAAAAATAAAAAAGTGAACTCTGACCAATTAAGAGGGATCGATGCGTTCGACCTGAAACTCATCCAAAGACGCATGCTACATGCACTAGTTTAATTTAGCATTTCTCTTGAAAGTTTACGCTAATATCAGGTGTAGACGAACATATCCTCTTTTATAGTAGTACTATCCTCATGTACCAAATGACGATGGAATATGTTAAAAAAAAAAAAAACAATTGAGTTTGATTGGTACTTAAATTATTGCAGAAATGTTGTTTTACTTTTACTTCCTCATGAACTTTAAAATAAAAGGTAATTCCTGAACTTTGAAAGTCATATAATTTTTTTTTTAAGGTCATATAAATTGCTAACTTATCCATATGTATTTTGAGTAATTAGCATCAATGGTTCTCAAACAGTTTATTAGGTGACAATTTGATCCATATTCTTTTGATCTTGACAAAACAGTCCCCTAAACAAATTTAATTATTGACAATTTAAGCATTTCCGTCTAATTCCGCTAATTTTTTTTATGGATAATAAATCATCTAAAATTTGTGATTGATAAAGCGAAATCATGCACATAAGCAACGCAAAAACTTCAAAACTAAACATACAATACAATCAAACACAACCCCCACACAACATAGAATCATAAAAAACTGATCCGGGAATATGAAATGACCCATAAAGATAACCTTGATGGCACAATAATATGAATGACCCAAAACGACTAGTTGCCCCCGCGATTCGAAATCCATCCGCCGCAAAGGCACCCACCGCGAGCCCTCTGTCGCGGAGGCCCGTCCCGTCGCGGAGTTCCCCACCACGAACCAGATCTCCCCCTAGGCAGTGGAGAGGGCTCGCGGCCCTCTGCGGATCAGATCTCGTCGTCGCGGCCATCGCCGTCGCGACCCTCCGCAGACCAGATATCCCTGTCGCGGCCCTCGCTGTGGCGGCTACCTCCTCCATCTCGACCCTTCTCACTGAAAAGCAATCCTCCCACCCCACCCACCACCACGCCGGCGGCGGCGTTTCCATGACTCGTTGAGTTCGTATGTGGATTCAACAAGTTCCATCATCAATCCCTCTAATGCGATTTCGTAAAAACCTTTCACCATCTGTCTCTGGAACGAACAAATTAGGAACCATCTTCTTTTGTTTGTTTGTTTGTTTTTTGTTTTTTACGTTTTTTTTAATTTTAATAGTTTATTAAAGTATAATAACATTATTTTACCAAAAAAAAAAAAACCCTCTCAAATAAGATCACATGCATCGTGTGAATTCTATTAAGAACTTAACATAATTTAATGGAAAGGTTTAAATTGCTGATATTGAAGAGTTTAGGAGTTATTTTGCCAAGAGTAAAAGAATAGAGATCGAACTATCATTGTCAATTACTCATGTATTTTTTACTTTTTTTAATAATATTTTTTACTTTTACTCGTTAACTTTAAAATAAAAAGGTAATCCCGAACTTTCGAATAATTGAAAGTTTGTTATGTAAATCGTTGCTAACTTATATATTGTTTTACTTTTACTTCCTTATGAGCTTTAAAAATAAAAGGTAATCCCGAACTTTTTATATAATTGAAAGCCTGTTATGTAAATCGTTGCAAACTTATATATACATATACGATTACGTACACCGCAAGATTCCTTCTTTTTTTTTTCCTTCCATAAATAAACTAATATCAATACTAATTCTAAAACACGCCCCGAGCACTATTAATACATTCCTGTTAGGATTGGAATAACAAGTAACAACTAAGTCAAAATAAGAATAGTACGTTACTATATATTTCCTATATTAATTCTGTTTAAAGAAGTACGTTAATATACAAAAAAATTCCAGAGCTTTTCCTTTCTTGAACATTATTTTTTTTTTCTTTCTCATCAACATATACAAACGGCTAGAGATTTATATTTTCCCTATTCGCTTGTTCATCAGTCATATATAGACAAATACTTTCTCTAGTAAGCATATGGATGTGAGTCGGGCGACTAATCATCTTGGTTCAAGCTTCACGTGTAACATAGCATTTGACCTAGATGCTGAAAATCATCACTTTGAAAGTTGCCCTAATCTACCCGACGAAAGCCTCCTAAAACGACACCCCTATTTCGTTGTCCGCTTGAACGCCGTCCATGCGATTAGATTTAGAGACCTGATCAACGGCAGCCAAAGCGTGGAAATACCCGTGGCCGTGGCCGCATACCTAGACAAGTGGCTCGTCATCCCCCGTCACGTGTTCTTCGCCAAGGAGCCCCCCATCATTCGCAATGTGCTCTTCAGTATGGGCGTGACGAGAGACCTCATCGACTACTTCGCGCCGCGAATATCCTCCTTCTTTGCCGCGATGGCCGAGATCCCTCGCCACGCCGACTATAGAATAGTGCCTCTAGCTCTCACCGTTATTTCTGAGACTCCATACAGGGAATCGGAGATCGAGCTCGCCATTAGGGAATCTCTGGCAGTGGTCGGACAGTTCCCGCGACTAGGGCATCCATTGACTCACTGAAGGATGTGAAGAAGATTGAGAATATTAGTGCTTTGGGTGCGAGCACAACACAAGAATGTTGCATGATCTGCTTGGAAGAATTATTGTTTTCTGCGGACGTTGCTGATGGACATGAACAAGATGATCATAAGGAGAAAGTGGCAAGCATGCCGTGCTCTCATCTTTATCACAAAGATTGCATCGTCCAATGGCTGGAGACGAGTCACTTTTGCCCCTTGTGCCGCTACGCTATGCCATCTGATCTTAGTTAGGGCAAAAGCAGATATCGACTGCACAATAACTGAATGATGGACTCTCGTTTATTTTATAGAGATTTTTTTATTTCTTCATGACTTGATTATTTATTTTTAATTTTCTTTTTATTTTGTAAGTCTTGATCAAGAATGTAAATTGAATAAAGGCAACTCAACTGAGACTCATAGTATTAAAGAAAAGAAAAGAAGAAATAATTAACTGCAATAAAGTCAACAACTCAAGTAAAGGAATGGCAAAATTGTATTCTAGCAAATTCATCTGGTTAATATTTACTATATGTAACACCGGTACACGGGTGAATATCATTTATCAAAGAGCTAAAAAATTCCGTCTTTTAAGTTTTAACCTCTCCCAAAAAAAAAAAAAAAAAAAAAAAAAAAAAAAAAGCTCTTTTTAAATTTTAAACCCCCCCAAAAAAAAAAAAAAAAAAAAAAAAAAAAAAAAAAAAACCTAAACAGGATTGAGTTAATCAATTAAGAAAAAAGATCTGTTATAGTTACTTATATATGAAAATCATTTTATTATAATCATGTTTATGTCTAATAAAAAATTATCTTAATTTTCTGTAGTGCTTGCACAAAAGAATTTTTGTGGCTGCGCCACTAAATCCTCGAAAAAAAAGAAGGAAAGTTATTGTGGGGTTAACGTTCGTTACTGTCTTAGTGAGTTTGCTGCAGTGTTTTTAATGACGGACATAGCTAGTGTACAGTTTTTAAGGGACGAAAATAGAAACTAGAATAACAGGGAGAGAGAGGTGGATACAAGAGCAGGATTCAGTTGGCCCATACCTTCGATTCCACAGGCAATACACATGACAAATCTGCACACAATTTATTATTGTGCAAGTACAAGTATCAAGAAAAAATATATATAAATAAATAAACGTTTTAATGATATTTTGTGAAAAAGAAAAGATATATATAGATGACTAGATGTTGTCCAAGAATAATGTTGACCATATATCTCAGAAAAGGGCATATGAAAATTGATTTTACTGTCATAAAACTAGCAATGATCTGATTATAATTGTTTCAAATTTGAGGTTGGACTGGTAAGTAGCTGCGATTAATTACGTTTTTGGTTAATTTGAAATTTTTGGCCAGAAAATAAATGATGGATGTTCTGTGGATTGCTTTTCTGCACGTCGCACTATTAAGGCCCCGTTCACTTCGCTGATTCGAGTTTAGAATTCGAGTTGAGATGTGATTTTATATGAGAACAATTGTCTCCGCAGGACAGGATAGTACTACGCAAAAGGGTATTGTGTATTTAATAAGTTGATACGGAGGCTTTCGGAATAAATGAGATTTTTTAATACGTTTAGCGTACTGATAAATTAAGTTTTTTAATTATTAAATTTGTATATTTTTTTAATTTTACGTAATTTTATATATATTTAACAAATAAAAAACTTAATTTATTAGTATGTTAACGAAAAACTCCCATAGAACAATATTAGCGAGCATTTATTTTGAAACTTCTTCTTTGTTCATTAGCTTATTACTTTTCATTGTAAGGAATGGATTCTAGAAAGACAATTTTTTAGGGATTGTTTTTTTGCATTTTTGAGTTATGGTGATTTGAGTGATGATATTG